GAGAATGCCTTTTGGAAAGCGAGGCTATGAGAAATTCAGTAGGGCAAAATTTAACTACCAATCCTTAATCGCCTTAAGGAAATAGGGTGAATAGATCTACTGGCAGTCTCAAAAATACTACTTATAAAAGAAAAATGTGATCCTACCATTCTTTGCCCCCATTGTTATTGTTTTATTCAATCCATTAATGTTCATTCGATTGAAGAGGCAAGGCTTTGTGGACCCCAATTAAAATAATTAATTTAGTTAATCTTTTTGTGATGAATGACTGTAATTTTAGCTTACTTTGCTGCTGAAGGTTGAAATAGACCTTGAGCTGCGTTGTACAGAGCCTTAATTCCGATTTTCTGCATAATTTGCTCCTTTGTCAAGAAGCCCTTCGTACGGAGTTCAGGATAGGCCGATCCAGTCTGGTTCGTCTGTTCTTGAGTCAGCGTATCAGAGGACATGAACAATGGCGGAAAGGCGAGGTTGCCGCTTGGCATGGTGATCGGAGCGTGTGAGGATGCCATAGTTTCAGGCCGCAGTGCAGACGAGAAGGTTGGCTGCACAGCAGACGGCAGACGTGGTTGTTGTCTTCGACGATGCAAAGCGTTGTAGCCATTCAGGCTTTGTGCTGATGCGGACTGTGCGAGCTGTTCCAGACTCACCGTGCTAACGGTTCCACATACCTCGCACTGGAAATTGGCTGTCCACGAAGGCAGCAAGGCCGGAGGGCCCATGGGCTCAACCAAAGTTGCCCCGCTTGGCTTTCTGCGTCGCAGACGTCGGAGCGATTGCTGCTTCCTCAGAGACAATTCTTGTTGAGGACCTGATCTCTGACCAAGGCAACTGAGGCTGAGGCTGGACAACACAGGAGTGCTGTTGAAAATAAGCCCCTGGAAATCGACATGTGAGTCTTTTACTTCGGCCTCTGCCTCGTCTGTATCGCCCTCGTAGCCCGTATGAACACCAACCTCAGCTGGGCGGTTGGTCTTCTGGGTAGTGATCTCGCTTTTAGTGCTACCAGACGCTTGATGACCCGATAAATAGGGCATACTCATTTGATGTGGCACATTCCACAAAGTAAGCTCGTCCGCAGACAAGTTCAACGGGATCTGTGGGGCTGATTGCTGGTAGGAAATCTGCTGGAGAAGCGTATTATAGCGTTCTCGATTTCTGGTTGTCAATAATGCCAGGTAAAATTAATAAATATTAATAAATAAATGAATAGCTAGCAAGTATTCACTGATAACTAAAAAGTGCGATGAAAATATTGGAGTCAGCACTTGACGGCGAATAATTCAATCTAATTATTTTAATTCGGTATGATGTCATCCTTTTACTTCGCTGTTTTTAATTATTTTAATGAATGATGTCGTTTGTATGAACACAATAAGATGCACAAAAAGCACTAAA